CAAGGCGAGCCTGCCCCGGTAATCATCATTCTCAAGAACTAGCACCATCATGGCTGATTCCAATCAAGAACCCGATCCCTTCACAACCGACACAATGTCAGACTTCGCGAACGGATCCAGTCCGGACAGTCCGTTTCCATCTTCAGCCGCAACCTCCAACCCATCCGAGAACAACACAGATCTTGACCCATCCGACGACCTTCATACGAACGGATCAGCCATTACCCCCAACGGCATCGCTCGATCGATCAGCCCAGGAGTTGATGCAGCCCTCGAGCCCTATGACCACCCAGGTTCAGACCACGTCATTCAGTTGTCTAGCATCGAGCATTGCATGCCTCGATCGTACATTCGTATCTGTTTCGCATATCGCGTACCAACCCCAGAAGTGCTCCCTGAGGCCGTGGAGAAGTTGAATCACTTCGTTCGGAAGGTTGTGGACGCGAAGCCATATCTGAGTGGCTATGTGGTAGCAGTGGATAATCCGGGAAATCGCGTGGGTGCAGTGGAGATCCGATTTTCCGATACGGATTTCCTTGAGTATCCCAATGTCAGTATGCGTCAGTTCACTCGCGAAGAGTTCCCGTATACCTATGACGAAATCTGTGAAAGAGGTCTACCGCCCAGTGTCATCAAGCCCGAGCTTGTCTCTGCATTGGGGGAATCTGCCGATGAGCACCGGGCCCCTGTTTTCAGAGTTCAGGCAAATGTTGTGGAAGGAGGTCTCATCGTTTCCATCTACCTTCATCATTGCATCTCTGACGGCACAGGCTTTGGTTTGCTCGCTTCAGGAAGTGTGCTGAACGATGACTTCACTTTCGACCGTCACTTGGATACTCGCGGTCACGACATCCCAAGCCTGTCAATGAGACTGGACGCGTTCGCTACTCGCAAGAGCATTGTCAGAAGAGAGTTGTCGTATCCTTTCGCAAATCAGATCACTAACAGACAGTTGAAATACAAAACGGCCCAGGCAGTACCTACAGAGCATGAATCCCTTAAACCTCGGGGTCGTGGGTGCGTGTTTGCCTTTCCTTCGAGTAAGCTGGAAGATCTGAAACAAGCTCTGGAGACTCACGCCGATGGCGCCTTCATGACACGTCATGATGCATTACTGGCCTTGATCTGGCATGGGATGACAAAGGCCAGAATCCCTTCTGTGCCGGGGGTGGCTACTTCGAAGCTTCTCATTCCAGTCGATATCCGCAAGAAACTGAAGAAGCCGCTGTCAGAGTCCTACTTTGGAGCCGCGGTCGATTTCGCCTCGGTGCAAATGCATCTTTGTCATTTAGCGGACAGCAGTGCCCCTTCTATGACCGAGACAGCGTTGGCTGTCCGCAAGGCCGTCAATGGCGTTGACGAGCCTTATATTCGACAAGCGATCGCTTTGGCAACGTATCCCAATCCGAGAATTGACGTCCGAGATTTGCAAGCCAGTAATATGGACCGAACCAATGGTGCGGATATGTACATTACGAGCTGGATGAAATTGAATGTCTATGAGTCGACGTTTGAGATGGACCTCGGTCGGCCAGACTGGGTGCGGAAGCCTTGGAGTAAGGATCCTGGCTCATGCATCATTTTGCCATACGACGACCGAAAGGACTACCTCGAAGCCGTCATACAGCTAGCAGAAGCAGACATGGCCCGATTGCTCGAAGACCCAGACTTCATGGGTTATGTTACCAGATGGATAGAATGATTGGATCGACATCAAGGAGCACGTTTTCTTTACGGCGCAACGGACAGAAAGGGCATTGTGAAATAAGGGAGTAGGTTTGCGACCTGGGACTTGAGGACTCGAAAAGCACTTTGTGGGTGACGACAGATTCTTTAGCAGAGGAAATTGGGAAGGACATCATCACTTACCTGGTGGGCTGGGGAGGCGGAAAGGCTGAAAAATCACATAATGGAGGGCAACGAACGGAAGGCGAGGAATGTACAATTACTCTCAAGCATGGGACGCAAGGAACATCGACAGGCAAATGAGGGAAATGAGCTGACGGCACAAAGGCAACTATTGAATTAGGATGATGAGGGCTGTTTCTGGATGGAGGGTGAACATAGGCACGGGAGTATTTGATACGAGTCAAAGATTTTCTCAGTCTTTCATCGTGTATCGACCTGCACGAATAACTGAAGCGAGGCAGGGGGGGGAAATAGGACCGATTCGCCGAGTACTCGATCCAGCCAAATCGAAAGTCATTCGGCTGAGATTATCACGTGATGTCGCGTGTCAGTCAAACATCCACCCGGAGGGGTCGACTAACACGTGCTTAGTCAACTCATCAGACGCGCCTGGCGTGTTTTCCCCCACGGCAACGCGCAGTTTCTATTTGGCCACCTCGCTGTCCTTCTTCCTGATGCCTACTACTTTGCAATCATTCACTGCTTGTCCCGTGTTCGACTCAACTTTCTGGTCTTTGTTGCATCTTGGCCCTTTGGCTCCCCCTCTCACCCTGCAGTTTAGCTCATAATGACACAAGTCGAGAATAACGACACCCCTCAAGATGACTACGAGGACATGCCTGGAGGTCCTGGAGCACCCATTCCCATTTCTCAGTTGGTGGTGAGCTTCTACGCTAGTCTTCACATTCCCATTTGGAGTATTGAAGTTTTCCTAGGGCGTCGCGGGTTTGACCGAAAGAGACATCAAGTTGGTCACAGAGGGAGGCTACCATACGGTCGAGTCCATTGCGTACACGTCAGTACCTCAATTCATATCGACTGTGCGTAATCTAACCATTCCACATAGACCACGCAGGCAGTTGGAACAGATCAAGGGCATATCAGAAGCAAAGGCGTCAAAACTGTTGAATGAAGGTTTGGATACCAATCACAGCTGCTGCGACTGAAGCTGATCTCTAGCAGCGATGAAACTAGTTCCCATGGGCTTCACTACCGCGACCGAGATGCATGCCCGAAGAAGCGATCTCATCTCGATAACCACTGGCTCGAAGAACCTCGATAGGCTACTAGGCGGCGGCATTGAGACGGGTTCTATCACGGAGATTTTCGGCGAGTTCCGCACTGGCAAGAGTCAGATCTGTCACACAATGGCGGTTACATGTCAATTGCCTTTTGATATGGGAGGTGGAGAGGGAAAGTGTTTGTACATCGATACCGAAGGCACTTTTCGCCCTGTTCGGCTGTTATCAGTAGCACAGCGATACGGTCTTGAAGGCGAAGAGGTCCTTGACAACGTCGCCTATGCTCGCGCATACAATTCGGAACACCAGCTGCAACTTCTCCAGCAAGCTTCCCAGATGATGTGCGAAACTCGATTTTCGTTGCTCATCGTTGATTCAGCAACTTCGTTATATCGAACCGATTACAACGGCAGAGGGGAACTCTCCTCACGGCAATCACACATGGCCAAATTCCTGCGGACTCTGCAGAGATTGGCTGACGAGTTCGGCATCGCGGTGGTCATCACCAACCAAGTGGTTGCACAAGTGGACGGCGGCCCCAGCGCCATGTTCAACCCAGACCCGAAGAAACCGATCGGCGGCAACATCATTGCTCATGCAAGCACTACCAGACTAAGCCTAAAGAAGGGTCGGGGCGAGACTCGGATCTGCAAGATCTACGACAGTCCGTGTTTGCCTGAGAGCGACACGCTGTTCGCGATTTATGACAGTGGGATTGGCGACCCTCAACCCAAGGACGACAAGGAATAAAGCGGGATGGGCAAGGGGTTGCACCAACGATTGAAGAGTCATGCATACGAAGAAGTGGTTTGATGCGCAAAACATTAGCGGCGGCGCAACGGGAGTCGTTTTACATGGCACGTCTGGGAGTATTACTACTCGGTACATAGCATCAGTGGGAGGCATTGAAATGGGTTCGGGGGCCATGGTTGCTGGCAAGCTGCGCATGAGCCGGAGTGAAGGTCCCGATTGCAGTACGTATTCAAGCTGGGCGCCAAGCTAAGGATTGTAATAATGAATCGACGGGCGCGCATTAAGAACGAAAGTTAAGCATTGTGGCTGATGTCTATCAGAGTGGCTTGGGCAAATGAGAGGCAAGCCTTATGCGATGGAGACCAACTAAGGAGCCTGGAATTTCAAGTTTGGAGCGAGAATCAGCCGCTGAGCCCATCCGTAGCCAGGCAAGGCGGTAGCAGTCAGCGGAGAAAATGATGCTGGATGGTAATGCAGAAGCCGGAGTCTTATGGACATTGTACTCGGTACGAGGTACGGAGCGAGGAGTATTTGATTGAGATGAGGCCCAGAGAAGTTCTAGAAAAGATTGGGTAGCTGAGATCCATCTGAAAGCCTTGGGGGCGAAGGGGGTAGTAGCTTGTGGGAGCTGGTGGTAGTTGGCCGCACCAGGCCGAGTATTATGTACCAGCTCAAGAAAGGGGCGAGTGGGAGCCAGCTGGAGCAGTTCCCAAGAAAACCAAAGACCCGCAAGGGCCGCTGTGGGTGATTGCTTGGGTTGTCTGTGGCTGATTAGTGACGCCTAGCGGGCCCTCAGTGACGCCTAGTCGGCCTGGTTCTCCAATCCGCCCGGGGCAGAAGGCCACGCCTAAGGAGCCCATGCCCACTCCTGCTGAGGCGTGAACCCTTGGCGTCATCATACCCAGTATGGGTACATGGCAGCAATGCAGCACGAAGTACACAATGCGTCTCACCAGCCTCTCACAACCTTGAACCGATCGACTGCGCTGCGAAACCACGAGGACGGACAGGACGGCATCAGATTGCATCGCTAGCACCTTTGGCCCCATGAGCTGCAATCAGCTGCCTGTGTTCTTGTGAATCCTGCCATCTTGGTCCGTCCTTTGCTGGAATTTGTGTTTGCTACACGTTCCTCCGCTCCTTTTTGTTCCCCTACGCCGCCAACTTCTTTCTACCTTGTATTACTACTACATTTAACTCCTTGGTTGTCGTTCCGATTAATTGCTTCTCGTCGCGCTTTTGACGGTCTTCAAGGAGCGCAACTCACCTACTAAAACAACAATTTTGTAGGAGCTGGATCGTGAACCCCAATCTTCAATGGAAGGTGAGCTTGGCAATACTCACACTCAGTCAGCCTATATGGTCCACTGACAGGAAATATTAGGCCAGGCAGATGGGAACACGGACTGGGACCTGCACCCGCGTGTCATCGAGTCGCAGGAAGGCTACGGAATTGGCCCAGAAATCACAAACTCCAGCTCCGGGTTCGAAGTCCTATGTGGTCCTCTACTCAATTACCAGCGTATGAGTGATGAAGGCCCCTCGAATATCTTCTGGCACGGCTCCGTCCTCCTCGTCACGAAACCCAATCTAAATACTCCCAACCTGGAACTAAAGGCCCTCGGTGCGTGGGATTCCGGCGCAAAGTTCAAGGCTCCGCCGTCGCAGTTGGTGCAAGGATTGAAGCTCTATTCTGATCCGGACAAGACGTTCTGGAGGTTCACTCTCAAGGTTCCCCTGGTTGAGGCGGAAGCAAAATGGCAATACTCAATAGCAAACATGCAATTCCTCACCCATGTCAGCGAAGAGCCGTCGAGGCAGTTTGTAGTTCCTTCTGCCACGCAGTCAATGCGCATCATGTTCCACTCGTGCAATGGGTTTTCGGTTGGCACGGACGAGGATTTCTGGTCCGGTGGGTGTTTTCATTCATTGTCGAAAGAGGATAGCCAAATACGCTGACATACAAATTCTCCAGGGCCTGCGCTGTGGCATGACGTCCTGCGGACTCACGGGCAACGCCCGTTCCATGTCATGATCGGCGGAGGCGACCAGATTTACAACGATTCGATCCGGGTTAAGGGCCCCTTGAAGGAGTGGACATCCATCGCCAACCCCAGGAAGAGACGAGAATACCTGTTCGATGGAGATCTGAGGGATCGATGCGACAAGTATTACTTTGAGAACTATATACGATGGTACTCCACCGAACCCTTTGCCTCGGCCAATTCCCAGATTCCTCAAATCAATATCTGGGACGACCACGATATCATTGACGGATTCGGTTCCTATACCGACCATTTCATGAGATGTGCCGTGTTTCGTGGCCTTGGTGGCGTCAGCTTCAAGTATTATTGTTTATTTCAGCACCATACCGCCCCGCCCGTTTCGACTTTCACCACCGACGCGCCGAAGACCATGGGTGCTGATGCCAATGGCACGGCAGGGGCTGATCCGCGCCAACTGAAAAACACGTTTGTGTACAAGAGGACTGCAGATGACCCCAGTTGGATTGTTGGTAAACGGCCCGGTCCGTACGTCGAGGAACGGTCGAGAAACCTGTACATGCGTCTGGGTCGCTCCATTGCTTTTTGTGGTATTGACGCGAGAACGGAACGGACGAGGAAGCAAGTCAACTATCCCGACACATACGATTTGATCTTTGAAAGACTGGAGAAGGAGTTCAGGGCTGCACATGGAGAAATCAAGCACTTGATTCTCCTCCTTGGTGTCCCGATTGCATATCCGCGATTGGCGTGGCTGGAAAATATCCTGACGTCGCCCTTGATAGCCCCCGTTCGCTTACTGAACAAGAGGTTTGGCTTTGCCGGCGGCTTCTTCAACTCATTCGACGGTTCTGTTGATCTCTTGGACGATCTGGACGACCACTATACGGCGCGGCACCACAAGACCGAACGCCGCGAGTTGGTTCTTCGGCTGCAAAAACTGTCGGCCGATTTCTCCGTCCGCATCACTATCCTGGGAGGAGACGTGCATCTCGCAGCGTTGGGTCGCTTCTACTCGACTCCTGCAGATCATATGGACCCGATGCACGATCCACGATACATGGCGAACATCATCTCCAGCGCCATCACTAATAAACCACCTCCCCGTGCTGTGGCAAACTTACTAGCGCGGAGAAATAAAATCCACCATCTGAGGGATGGGAATACTGATGAGACGCTTCTCAAGATGTTCAACAAACAACCAGGGGACGTGATGAAGGGCGCGGACTGGAATCAATGCACTATGCCAAGCAGAAACTATGCATGTATCACGGAGATTTCTGACGACGAGGACTCACAGCCAGCAAATGGTACCCTGAATGGCTCTGCCAATCCGCAGCCGACATCAAGTGTGGTAAATTCAACAGGCAAGACAGGCAAATCTCGTCCTCACACGAACAAAGGTGCGACTGACGGACACGGATATTTGCACTTAGGCGAGGAGGGGGCGGGAACGACACATCCAGCCGCAGATGGTATTAGTTCGGAGGCAGTAGGACCACCGCTGAGGGGAGGCTTGAACGTCGCGATCAAGGTCGAGATCAACAATCGAGACCCAGAGGGGAGGACGGAGGGGTATGGGGTGAGCAGTAAGACTCCCGCATTTTGTTATACCTGTTGACAGACCTGCTAATGCGGCAAACAGTTCCTAAGCTCACGATCAGCACCCCACCTCAAACACCGGAGACAGAAGCTTGAAGGTCGACAAAACCGGTTGCGGATGTTTTCTCGGGCAAAGCCTCGACTGTTTGTCCATCTGTCGGATGGCCTCATCTAGAGACGAGATACTAAAAGACTTCTTCGGATATTAATCACCTTGTTATTATTAAACACGAGCTGTCCACGGCCTCGACGCGCGAGAGAGGGAGTGTGTATATGGGAGTCTGCAAAGAGAGCCGCAGCAGGAGACCGAGAGCCGCGCAGACCTGATCGGAGTGGAGATGGGATATGATATTGGGAAAGGAACCCGCTACAAATTCCACAGTAATGGGCTGGATCGGAGTAATACAATCGAATTGGCCGGGCCTATATCCAATCGGCCGCTGTCCCTGCGCCTGCGAGTCGCCGAAAAGGGTCCACTTGATAAAGGGGCGACCAGGGCAAGGGGAAGGAGACGAGAAAATGAGCGGAGAAGAGACGAGGAGAGGAAGAAAAGACGACTTCGGAAGATACGGGAAACGGAGGATAATTCATGTATCAGGTATAGATACACAGCCAGACAAGCATGGACCAACGGATGTGTACCAGTGCCACTGCCATTGCCACCGCTTACTACGACGCCTCTGAACGAACAATGCTCAATGACGAGGTGCGTACGTGAACTCCTTTCTGCTTCCTGTTGGGGCTCTTTCTTCCTCCGAGATACAGACTACCTACCGCAAACGGCACCCGTCTATCCTCATCCCCATCCTTGTCCTCATCTCTTCCTCCGCTAGGGCAAATACCCAGTCCCAGTCCAGTCCAGTCGCGAACCACAAGAAAAGGGGGTGGGAGAAAAGACGGGCGGGGGGAGAAATATGTGCTCTTTTCTTTTTCCGTATCGTACTTGATACAAATCACACCCTTGACTCATACATATGGTTCAGAGTGCCGCTCCTCTTCAACCCATTGCCGTAGTAATTGTCCTTGTTGCCCGGCGCGCCGGGCCCCGTGGGCTGGCGAGGAAGCGGCCCGTTGCCGCCTGCCCAGAGCTTCTTGCGCTCCTCCTCCTCGCGCAGGCGCTTGCGCCGGGCCTCTTCCTCCTCCCTCTTCCGGGCTGCTTCCTCCTCCTCGGCGCGGAAGACGAGGCGCGGGCCGGAGATGGTGCTCAGTTCCACCGCCGCTCCTGCTCCGCCAGGCTTTCTGGAGAAGTTGACGTCGCCGACGGCCTGTCCGGGCCCGCCGAAATCGATCCCGGCGCCCATCGTGCGCACCTGCTGGCCGCGCACGTACTCTGCGCGCATCCACTCCCGCCGCGCGCACTCAATCAGCCCCGCCGCCATCACGAACATGGTCCACTGCAGAAAATCCTTGACCGTCGCGAGCGTCCCCAGCATGTCTGCGAGGCCCGGCTTTCCCGTGTCGTGGAACCGCGACTGTGGACACCACTTGGGAACGCGGCCCTGGTGGCCCGCGAGGATGGGCGCGAGCTCACAGGATGTGCAGAGCACAGACTGTGCGAACCACATGAGCGTGTGGAGAATCGAGACGCAGAGGATGAAAAATGTCGTTGTGACCGTGTAGTTGGCGTCGTAGTGCTGAGGGTTGGCAGATTTTGGAGACGATGTTCCGCCGTGGTTGTTGTCGTAGGGATATGGCGGCGAAGGCAGGCCATTGAATTGAAAGGCTGCCAGATGAGAAACTGTATAAAGTAGGGAGAAGAAAGGAATGGTTCCAACGTAGAAGACTAGAGGTCTGGTAGCAATTGTTGGTCAGTAATTGAACACTTTTTTCGTACTGGCTTGTCTCTGCCTTGTCTTTTTCCCTGTTGCCTCTGATCATCGACCAAGACACCGAGGCGATTTTTAAAGAATGTCGGAGGGAAAACACCAACCGCCGGAGAGAGAAGAAAAAACTTACAGCCAATTCCCTGCCCCGGGGACCATTTCATGCGACCACGCCCCATATTTTGACGAAGCTATGAGGATAATGATGGCCAAAATCATTGAAGATATGAGCAAAAGGACCTGAGCCGCTCGAGTCTGCATCTTTGCACTGTTGTTGTTTGACCTTTTCGACGTCGGTCGGCTCTGGGCGATTCGACGAATAGAGAGAAGATTTGAAGATGCCCACACCGTTGGAGCAGAAATGAGCAGCAGCAGCGTCCTGCGCCACTAACGAAGATAGTATCGAAGTCCCCCCGAATGAATGACTGAGCGAGGCGGGATCAAACACAGCCGGAAAGAATGGAAAGTGGTGGCGTCCAGCGCTCAGCGCCAGCGCCTTCGAAAGGGAAGCGAGAGGAGAAAACCCACAAAAGAGCAGAAAAAGGAACGATCTGGGTCAGTCCAACCTTGTATATATGTTAACGAGGGTATAAAAGGAAAAAGGCACAAGCCTGCCCGCCTGGGGAAGGGAGCTGGAGACAAAAGAGCAAACGAGAGATTGGCGAAGATGGCCAGCAACCGAAAACAAGGAAAAGGATTGAATCGAAAGTCAGATACGGATGGCCGGGCGACAGGGCATCCGTGGTTTGTTTCTGCTTGAAGGGCCGCCAGAGAACCCTATGTTCGGCGGTAGATCAGATCATGATCGTGTCGGATGCGCGCCTAATCAGGCATGTCCAAACCCTTTATAACGTGACAGTAGGGAATATTGGATGCGGTCGTGACCATAGGACAGCATGATACCCCGTCGCTCAGGAGATACCGATCAGGATTTTTTGGGAACGGTGTGCAACCCCTGTAGCACATGACGGCCGATGGGGGAGATGAATTGGGTCAAGTGCGAGATTTCGCACCGATCGGTCGCTTGGACCCAGACATTTCATGCCGCAGATCAGGCCCTAAAGGACTGAAAAGTAGTTAAGAAAGAGCCAGAGTTGAGGCGCCAGCCCGGCAACGTTGTGATGCGGGGAGTGTTTTGAGACTCTAGTTGCAACAGAAGTTTGGTCTGAGACTGGTGGCATCTTGTGGAGGTTGGGTTTCGCGTCTCAGATTCACTCCCTCTGAGGCAGCGCTAGACCATATCCGGCAAAAGGGGAAAGGGAATCAAATGCCACGTGACTGGTACACTGGTTGACAAGGCTGAGGATGGAAATAGATCCTGGGGTCCAAACCTCTAATAGCTCAACTCAAGATGACCCCAGTCCACTTAGGGTCGTTGCCAGGATCCTCAGAACCCTGTAATACTTCTCCTTCGGAGAGACCGTGCACGTATGCTTCTCCAAGCAGGGTGAAGACAGGTCTGCCGTCGACGTCGCCAGCATCCGCCTTTCTCAGCACGAATGGTAACGAGCCTCCTTTCAAGATGACGACATGGTCACCTCTAGAGAGATTCTTCGGTCCTATACCCATATAGCCTTTCCTTGTCCTGAAAAATCGTCGCCCAATTGCCGTTTGTCGAAGAGCAGCGTTATAATGCTCTCCATAAGCTACTCGCTCGTTTCCAAAGAATTCGCCTGGGCGAGGATATCTATCCCGAATGGGAAGAGGCTTCCCTCCTTCGAGCTCTGTATCGCTGCAGTCACCTGATTTGCCCGGATGGACTTGGTTCCGATTATCGGCAACAGCCCAGCCGGGACAGATGCACGCAGGCTTTTCGGCCTTGATCTCCACCTCGAGAATCTCAGGGTATGCCATGAGGAAGCTTTCCGCAAATTCAGCCGGCGGTACAACCAGCTGATTGCCTGATATAGCCCGGTTTGCAATTAGCGTCCGCCAGAATACATCAAACGGACGTTGTCCCGTCGGGTACTTGTTGAACTTGACCCCGAAGCACCACCACAGGCTCAAGAGGTATTGCTTTAAGCCGATGATGCGATGTTGCTGTAATGCGGCCTGCCCATACACATCAATCACGTCTGTCTCGCCTCCGAACCGTGCGGCTTCTATGAGCACTCTGTCCACGAAATATGCATCAACCTCGAGTAGTCCCGAGGCGTAACTCTTGGGTAGAACAGGTCTCGTCCCCAAAGAAGCACGATAGTTTGCCGTTGAAACTAGTCCAAACGCTAATATCAACGCCGGTTCTTCAGGATAGTTGCTCCAGTCGGGCACCCAGGAAGCCAAATGAGGCTGTCTCCTTGATTTGCCGCAACCGGCGTTAGCCAGCATGTCAAGGGAATTCTCCTCTTCCAATGTAAGGCGTGCTATCTGTTCATAAATCTGTGGCAACTGCAGCTCGTAATCAACTCGAATCTCTCTCGTGCCATCAAGCTTCTGCGAAGGCCCATCCTGCTGCTGCCGAGGGGTAGCGGTCCCTGCGTGCCTGATGATATATTGATCTTTGACAAGGCCGAGCAGTCCGTATACTTTATCGGCAGGATCGGTTGATTCTTGTTTCCACGCTCGCTGCAGAAACCAATGTAGATTTTGAGCAGGACCTTGTTTTGATTGAATTTTGTAATGCTCGAGAAAGATCGCGACCGCAACTGGGCTCCAGCCTGTGCCCTCAATGAAGGCGCCTCTGAGTTCTGGGGTTACAACTTCAGGGTTATCGATGATTTGCAAGGGTGCCAAGCCAAACCGCGTCGACGCATTAATGAGATCAATCCACTGGACCTTGTGATTACCGCAGAGGAATAGTGGCGGGAAAGCTTTGTATATGTCCCACAGGCAGACTTCTTGAACCACCCACAGGCGCTTGAACCAAGTCAGTTCAGAGAATCGAGTCAATGCGAGCGCCTGTTCCACGGTGACTTGGGTCTTTGGTAGCCTCTGTGAATGAATAGGACCGGACACAACATTGTCAGGCTGCATTTGAGATTTGGTGCTGTCGTGGAAATCCCTGGATGCCCTTCGGATCAGATCGACTGCCACATCAACTCCATCGGGCGGATCACCTAAATCAACAAACACCTGATTGGCATGGCGGTAGATTTCGTGCATATTAGCAACCTGGAAACAGTGTCAGATATGATATGTGCTGACATTGAGTAACCGGCTCGTCGGCTCGCGCAATCCGGGCATTTCAATCTGCGTC